ATATACTTGACGAAATTTTCACATTTTCACATTGACACACACGCATGCATGTACATACATACACCTATATACATATGTATGCGTAAATAGCATCCTCGCGAGTGTGTGAATATTGTCGATATATCGACAAAGCCGATAATATCATTTGCCAGATTCTGAATTTGCATTTCAAATTACAAGGTTCAATTTTTTTCAATTAATAATGTTGCTCTTTAAACAGCACGAATTTTATACCGAACATTTGCAATTCATCGATTCGTCGTATAGAACTCTTGTCCGTCGCATAGAACTACTTTCAAATTTATTTCAAGATTTTGTAACTTTGGTGCGTCATTGAAAATCGTCTTAATTTTAATTCGTGGCACGAAAGTAAACAATTTAAAATATATACTTTGTTCTTACTCAATGAATCGTGTACAGTATGAAATCGTGTAAAGAAATGAACAAGTGTCAACACATATCGTGAGTTATATCAAATAATGCATGTTCATTATATGTAATAATCATTTACGCTTCTTTGTATTTTCTTATTTGTATGTTATTACAACTTGCGATAGCTGTTACACCTTAGAAATTTATATCGAGTGAATGTTTAGATAACGCTATTGATTAAAGCGGACAATTGATAATTTCCATTTTTACTCGGTATGAATTGTGATATGATTGCATTTGTTGACATAAATCCGTATGTGGTTTTCACATACTCAGGTAACCAGTGTCGGAAATTAAAACTACAATTAGGTTACAAATACTATACATGTGTATGTAATACATGTTACAGTTTGTAATTTAAAAAAAGGTAAGATCACTTTTATCAACAAATCGAAACTTTTAAAAACGCTTTCATTTATATGTTTCTTTATCCTAACAGAGGAACACATAATCGACATTTTGTAGACGCGAAATGAAAATACTACAATCGAATAATTATTATAAAACTTTCATTTATGTCATCGTTTGTTGTTCTAGCTATGGAATATACATTAAACATTGTGTACGTATATTAAACGACTTCTTTTCTTTTTATTAGTTTCTCAGTTGTGTTTTTAAGAAACCATACAATCATTCTAAAATAAAATACATTCGTCAAACATTAGAAGTAAATGTAATGTTAAAGAATGAAAAACAACTAATTGTTAATTGTTCGTGAGCTATCCAGGTAGACCTACACAACTTATGATTTTGTTAACATGAATCACAAAGGTGACTGTTTTGATAACAAGAAATACAATTTTCACTCTTCTACTTCACAGGTATCTCAGGATTATATATTTACCTAAGAGTAATATTACTACAGTCGCAATTATAATTATTGAAATAATGAGAATTTCGTTACGTTTATCGCGCAGTAACGAAATTAATAAAAATCTTGTATAACTATACTGTTAACAACTATCTCGTCGTTATTATACATAATATGCTTTTTTTCTTTTTTTTTTTCGTACAACGAGGTATCATTTGGTGGTCACATAGATAATTTACAATAAAGCTAACAAGGAGACATTGCCACCACAAGCAAATGACACGTTATGCACGTTATACGGATTTAGTATTCACTATTTACTGATTACGTAGTTCTTTGATTTATACAAACCTAATGAACGCCTTTTGTCCGTTAAAGGATACCATTTAAGTTTCCTTTGTTTCTTTTGCTTCTTTTGCTTCTTATTCTTCCAGTCATATTTCTCTTTCGTTTTTCTATCCTTCTTAGTGCTTTGCGTTTGTCATAACCATATCTAAAGATAGTAATTGCATATTAAAATTCCAACACATTAAGATTTCAACAAGTACAAATTGAAACATCTTAATGATATACTATGCTAGATTTGAACTTTTTTATTCTTATTTAGTCGGATGTTGTTTGATGTTGTATAATTATGCATTAGTTTATTTGAATATGAAAATGATTTTTCTTTAGAGTGTTTCATTATTTGTTTATCAAACGAAATAATTTTTTAAAAACTATGTAATTCTTGTATACATATTAATATTGTTAATAATATAGATAATTTATGGTGTCAGGTAACTTATTATGTCAGGATATTTCTTATAATATTTATTATAATTGATAATGATTAAATTAACTCAAATAAGAAATTATCTAGAGATGATATATTTATTTTCTTATTTATTATATCTCTAAAATAAGAACAATAAATTAGTTAAAATTCATTATTTCAAATCGTTATCTCTCATTTTGTTCCAAATAAAATGTGATCAAATCTGATATAAATTATATAGGGTGCATCATGAAGCACTCTTCTTCATGATTTAATGAAACAAATATAATTCGAAATGAAAATTAATTAGGAAGTTGCAATTTGAAGAACTTGCCTCGAAATATCATGCTTTCTATCACATGTTAGAAAAGAAAATTTAAATAAGTACAAAAAATTTTCTTTTATTTAAAATGACGTTCATATTGAATGATTATAATTTTGGAGATTACTACATTTATAGTAGCATATGATTATATACTAGTAGCAGTATATTTTTTATTTACGTTCTACGATATAATAGATATATCATGTATCTTTAAGTGGAAAAAGAAAATATTTATAAATAAATGAACGAATCTTACCTCTTCGCTATTCAGCACTAGTCAGACTTCTCCGCCTGTTTCAACATTCTCTTCTAGTTTTCTATCCTGCTTTTCTTTTTCCTTCTCTGCTTGTTTCTCTTTATTCTTCTCTCTTTCCATTTCCGCTTCTTTCTCCTTCGCCGTCCCTTCCTTTTCCTTTTCTTTCTCTTTCTCCTTCTCCTTACATTTTTCTTTGTACTTCTCTTTTTCCTTCTCCCTCTCCTTTTCCCGTCCCTTCTCCCGTTCTCTTTCCCTCTCAGCTTTGCGCTCTCTAAGGAATTCCATCCTACGTGCCCGATGCAAGCTCCCAGAAGGAAAAGTGGAATCTTCGACCGCGGCAGCCGCGGCCGCACTCGCACCTCGCTCCACGGCCGTCTGCTCAATAATTTACTTGACTGTATTTTTCAATATGTTCCTCATCTGCTCTATTTACATCGAGTAAAAAACTAAAGCTCTTACTGTTTCTCCGATCCTGATTTTTAAGACTCATTGATGCACAATATCATAAATATAAGACTTTATATATTCGAGCTTAAATTTCGAATATTTGATCCTAGTGGGTACTCGTTTCTACATTTCGTATTTCTTTATTTTTATAGAAGTGAGAAATTCACAAAATCACGTCAGACTCTGTAAGCATTTTTATTTCTCAAGAGATAGAGATTTCATTCACTTTATCCATTAAACTGTTGAACTGATTTAGATATTTGTAAAATTTTGACTGCCTACGTAAAAGTTGAAACATGAAAATGTAGATTTTATTTTGCACTTCTTTTAGAATTCATAGTCGAATAATTACTACGACAGAAATCGTAAGAATAAAAAATAGGCTAACCAATATCAATTTTGTTCAACTGATATCAATTTATATTCACATTTTTTCCCCGTTAATTTGTTAACATACAAATTTAAGATTCTGTTGTCTATAGATAGTATGCAATATGTCCACATACAAGATGTATAAAGTTTTTCTTTTAAATATACGAAATTTAAAAAGATGTAAAATGTCGTAATTTCGTCCGCTAGTGTACACTAGTTCACCTAATTCAGATATCCTAATTGATATAGATCAAAATATTCAATATAATTCGAATGTGACTTCAAAAATTTGTTTTCCTTTATTCATCATTTGATTATATAATATATTATATCATTTGATTATATAATATATAAAGTATTTGTTAAATATTTGAAATTTAGAAAAAATATTTATTGCGATATTATATGTTATAAGTATTTGTAATAAATATTCGCTTATGCTGGAAAATACAATTAAAATAATTAATTGTATTATATTATATAAATTTTTTTTCCAACTTAATCATAATTCAGATCTTTAAAATAATGGTGTTTTTATTTTTTAATCGAAGATTAATAAGTTGCATTTATTATTGCATTAATAATAAATTTGACGTAGATATATAATGACATATACAAAACAATATAATTAATGAATTTACATTTCGTCTCAATTTATATATCATATATGTAAAAAATTTACATTCGAGTAAGAAAATTGCAATTTAAATATTCAGTTTGGATACACGAGTACTTACATTGAAGTTTAGATATTTAAATTTGAATTTGAAACGAAGGTCTAATAGTAAAAGCTCTAATAGAAACACACCTCGGATGAATAAGACGAGTTAGATACATACTTTCAATATAAAACTGGCTGTCGAACTTTTGGCAATGGGACTCTGTGCCGAGGACGGATGACTGTGACTATGCCCATGAGTAGTGAAATATCCACCTGCTTTCGGTTTTATATGACGATTGTACATTTCCATATGTACGATTTTCATAAATTCAATTTGCGCTGCTAATTTTTGAATTTCTTCCTGTAATTAATGACAATGATTAATATTTCTAGCGTAAAAAATAGAATTGTTTATTACTTGGAAAATAAGCTTCAAATCTCGTTTTCGTACATATTAGAATACATTGCTGGCAATAAACGATTTATTTTCTCCTAACCCGATGAAGAATTATTATAAAAAATAAATATAATTTTAATATGTGTGTAATATTATATAATACTGTTATGTAATGTATATATACAGGATGTCCTATTTGAAGTAAATCATGTAATTATTTCTTAAACTATTTGTTATAGAAAAAAATGTTTCAAATAAAATTTACAATGTTTTGAAAGGGACATCGTATAATGACCATTTTGTTTAGAATTTTGAATATGCCTCTAAGATTTCAGGGTGATATCCATTTTTAAAAATTTTTATT